GTCCAGGCTGCAATGCCTCACAAGCACCTGCCTCCAGCAAACTGAACCTGTTGCAGCTGGAATCATAGCCTGTGATTCCAGCCCCAAACCGATTATTTTGCCTTCTTTTCTTTAGAGCATCTCATTTCTGTACTACTTTTTCCTGTATATACACTTGTGTCTGCATCCTGCTAATCCTCTTACAATCATTGCAGAGTGCCTCAGAAGACCTTATGTCCCCCAGCATCTCACATCCCAAACATGAGAGACTTTGGGACCAGGCTTTACATGAGTTTGTTTCACAGGTCGTCCCTTCCCAGGGAGAAATCGATACAGCAAGCAATTCAGTGATGACAGGCACCTTCCCATGTTCATGCATGGCTTTAACACCACGGAGGAAGGTCCGTGGCAAGGACTGGTGTGATGTGTTAGGACCAGTAGCATAGGAATCTCTTCAGTTAGTTCCAAAGCACAGTCATCTCTGGAGTGGGATGTCACAGCACCCACCACGCTGCACACAGGACATTTTCATGTCACTCTCATTTCTCAGAGTAAGTCACAGGGGGAGAAAGAGGGAAAATAATGTGCTATATGACACTGAAATGCTTCTTTTGCTTGAAAAGTGTGTCCTCAAAGGCCTGAAGCTAAGACCCCAAGGTGCCTGACTCACTCCAGATGTTCACAGCCTCATTGCACAGTTCTTCCCCAGGTAAAATTATTTATCAGCATTATTTGTCAGCAGTTTGCTGGCCTGGAGTGAGAGGAGCTGCTGCGTAGCATCACCAATCCTGAGAGCAACATATTTGGACACAATCCCTTTAGCTTAGAAGGGCCACCACACTCACCTCACTTGCCCCACACTGCACCACCACCTGGGACATGTAGATGATGCTTCCCATTGTTTTTATGTCCTCTCCTTCCCAGCGCTGGATGGATTCAGAAAGGATCTGCAGCTCGAGTTGTTTCCTCTTCCTCAGCTCCTGGCATTGCGACTGGGAATCACAGTGGAGCTTCGTTAGCCAAAGGACAGGCTCAAACCCAAACCATCCCAGTTTCACCAGCAACACTCCCACAGCCCTGTGGGCTCAGGGTTGGTCACATCAGGGATCAGGAAAGCTGCTTTGGCTCTATGACACAAAGTTTGTTAAAGACTCACACCCCAGTGATTTATGAAGTAATTCAAATGTCAAAGAAATTGCAAACTGCACTGAGCAAACTTTTCTTTCCAAACCAGCTCTACCACTGAGAGTGCAGGGTCACATTTTCCAAACTAAGACAGCTGGCAGAGCTAAACGTCTCTAATTTTGTTACTGCTTAGAGAGATTTTGCCCATTTTGCCCAAACAGCAGAGAGATGTATTTGAAGCAACACAAAGCCCCCATGAATCAGATAAGTGGATATTTTCTAACCCAAATCTGCAAACCCCAAACCAGGACAGGTTGGTGAGGTAGACTGGCACAAAAAGAAACTTCTGAAGGTGCTGTAATTCAAAAGACTGCACCAATGCTTGGCAGCTGAGGACTGGAGGACATCCACAGAGCGGCCAGTCCCTCAGCAGCTCTCAGCCAGCAGAGGACAATGCTGACTGAACCCAGTCCTGCAAATCTAAGCAAAACCACCTTTAACTGAACCCTTTGCCAACAGGGAAAATTGCTGCAAAGCCAAACCCGGACTCAGTTTTCACCAGCTGCTTGGTTTTTTCCAAACTCCTATTTCTGATACAGATTTTCCTCCTTTCCAGCTTAGTTTCATACAAACTCTTTGACTATCCAGCTCCTCAAAGAGAGAGGCGGCATTAGGTCTAGTGTGAAAACAGACAAATTTGAACTAAACTACAGGGGCTTCTTCTGGTTTTACAACTGTTGCATGTTTTGATGGCTCCCCAAGTGTCCGAATCCAATGTTCCCAGGATGCAAAACCAAATAAAATCCACAGCATCCTGGCCTAGTGGGGAGGTGTCCCTGCCCATGGCAGAGGGGGTTGTGACGAGATGATCTGTAAGGTCCACTCCAATCCCTGAAATTCTGTGATTTTATGGTTCTATGATTCTATGATCACAGTCTGTGCAGAGGCACCACTGTGAGTCACAGCAGCATTGTGGTCCCTCCCTGCCTTCACTCCAGAGCCTCCCTGGTCCCACCACAGGACCACGTGTCCATTGCAAGGGGCATCTCTGCCTCTCTAACCTCAAATCTGCACTGAATCTCTTTAGTTGTGTCATAATGACATTAAATTACTCATTACCCAAGTACACATTTCAAGTAAAACCGTCCATGGTTTACGAGCATTCCTAGAGATTAATGACACCTTGTAATTTAACTGAATGATTCCCCCATTAGCTACCAGAATAAATGGAAAGGGAGCTGAGTTTCTAAGTAAATGTAACATGATCGCCCTTTCCTGTTTTCTATGAACTTTCTCCTCCCTGTGTTTTATCTGCCCTGCTAAACACCGAAAACTTGCATCTGCTGTACTAAGGAAGGAAGTTGGACCACATCTGGAGTGGTTATAGTGAAAGGTACTCAGTGGCTACGAAGCGAGAGAGGCTATAGCATTTTAATAACTGAAAAAGCTTTCCTGAGTAAAACCTTTGTGCACATAGATGCCTTTTCCCCCTCAATTTCATGTCAGTGCAGCAGGACTCTGAGGAGTGTAGGTAACACAGCTCACAGAAATAGCTTTGTTATCTGACTCATCCCTTCACTCCTGTGTGCTCTGTTCCCCACCGATGGCCACAGCACCTGGAGCCACAAATTACCTGCAGTGTGGTCAAAGCCTCACCATGCCTGTGGAGCAAACCTCAACAAAACCAAGAGTTACTCAATGGGCTCAGAGGGGACTTTCCTGCTGGCACCAGAGTCAGTCACAGTCGTGTTAACCTTTCCCAGCTCATCTCAATGAGCAAAAGACAGTCTAGTTTCAGGTGGCAAATGATTAGGGAATGGAGGTAAAAGGAGATGAAAGGGACCCAGCCATCACCATTGCCCACACGTGGCTTTTGGCAGAGGATAAGCCAGAGAACCTCCATCTCTGCTCTGGGACCATGGGGCCAGCATGCAATTGCCAAAACACAGACAGAGGGGCAGCTCTAGGCTTGAAACTTGAAATTAAGATTCTTTATAACCCATCTTTTCCATTCCAAAAGACCTTTTCTTCTAATGAGGAGACAAATGTCAGACTTGACTCATTCTTCATGAAATGCAGCCCTGAAACGGAGCACTCTATTTTAAGAATTGCCACCTACCACGAGGGACTTGAAGGATGTGACGGCTTTCAAAACATCTTCATGATCTGCATGCGCCTCCTAGTGAAGGGAGACAAAATCCCTCAGCCACCACCAGCAGCATCACCCACCCTGAGCATCACCCACCCTGAGCATCACCCACCCTGAGCATCACCCACTGTCCCAGTGCACCCAGTGCTGCAGGGCTGAGAGTGCAGGCAGCATGGGCTGCAGGAGGGGCACAAAGTCCACCAGGTACCTTCCCCACCACCCACTTCAACATGACATGGCTGAAAGCAGCTATGCAGTACACTGATAGCAACTGAATGAGTGCAAAGGGGTCAAGAGCAAGAGCAGGTATGCTTTTACTTAGAACAAATTTGACTTGCAAAGAAAATCAATGAAAACAGGCAGAAGTGCAGGGTGGATTTGTGGTTTCACCTTCAGGAAGGAAACTTCCATTGGTGTGCAAGGGATTCCAGCCATTGCCCCATCAAGGGTGGAAATCCATGAACATCAATGGAGTTTCACCTCTGGGTTTAAGGGAAAGCATGTCTGGCACTACATGGCCAGGGAGGGGAAAGCAGGATGCTGCCCCTTATCTCTGACCTCAGTTGCATGCTAGTACTCTCCCAGCACTTTCTCCTGTATCTAGGGCCCTATATTCTAAGCTCCTCACCATCCAGTCCTCATGCCAAGCAAATCTTAGGGTGTCTAGGTTGTGATGGAGCTGTCCCTGCAGCTCACCTCTGAATGTGGGACAAGGACTGCCCTTAACATACCTGCCTCATCAGCAGCTGTGCAGCAGTGCAGGGAATGCTACAGTACACATCCACACTGCACACATCCACACTGCATACATCCATACCCTTCCCACGGCATCGCAGCTTAAACCTCAGCCCTACTGATTCATCCAACAGAACTCCCACACTCAGCTTAGAAACTAAGAGAGATAGGTGAGGTGTGTGTCCCTGAATCCACTGCTGAAGTCCCATATAGCATCCTGCATGGGCACGGTGGCTGCAGCCAAGCTCAGCTCAGTCCCTGCAGCTCAGCTAATCCAGGTGAGAGTGGGACATGCAGATGTGTAGTGCGCCTACCCTGCAGGTTCTTATGCCCTCTCCTATGCAGAAATATTCCTGGCTCAAGCACAGAGGTTTTAATCCTTTGACCAGGGTGTGGATTTGAATGGCCATGGGTAAGTGTGCTGAGTAATTAACTGGTAATTAAAACTGGAAGAGGGGGAAAAGCAAACCTGGTTAAAAACACTTCTACTTTCTTTACCCCCTTGCACCACCCCTGAGGTTTGCCTGCCAGCAGCTGGAGTGCACCAGCAGAGAGTAGCAGAACACCAGCAGCAGAGATCCCTACAGTCCCCAGGGGAAGAAATGTCCTGAAGCAGATCTGCCACTTGCCAAGGAAGTCTCTGTGCCCCTCGGCTGCTCTCCCTGCTCCCAGGGAGTCACTCCTCCACCCCCGTGTCTGTGCAGGCTGCCAGATCCATGTCTGGCTGTGCAGCTCTGCCTCCACCCAGGAGCCCAAGCCTGGGTGGGGATGTGCCTGTGAGCTGCAGGAACAAGTGGCCAGGCTTAGGAATCTCATCAAATGATTGTAAAAACACTGATTTATTACTCGCTGTGCAAATAAATACCAGCTGTATAGCCTGACACTGAACTCTGCTTTCACTTGTGCTGGAAAGGGCCTATCTTTGAGAAGGGGCTGGGGTAAAACTCAGGCAATGCCTTCCCACAGCATCCTCCAGACACATCCACCAGTTTTCCACTTCTAATCTGAAAGGTGGATAATGTCCCAGGCAGGTGGGACACCTCCTTGGAGGGGTGGCAAGTACTTTCAGCCACATGGTGTTGAAATACCAAGAGGCAGAGATGCCTGTTGCAGCTCGGGGATAGCTCTGGCAGCATCAAGGGGTAGAGCCTGCCCAGCAGTCCCACATCCCACCTACCTCCATGTGCCTCTCCAGCTCCTGCAGCAGTGTCACGTATTTATCCAGCCTCAGGAAGGGTTTGCTGAGGCTTGTGGTTAGGATGAGAATGCCTGGGTTGGCCGCACCCTGGCTCTCCATGAACTTCTCCAGCTCATCACTATGAATAGAGACAACAACAACAATAAGGAAGGCTCGCACTGCTCAGGGCTGTGTTTTGCTACCTCCCACACTCTCCTGATGGCCAGGGCTCTGCCTTTCTAAAGCCAGCCCAGCCTCCCCTCAGAGCATCCCCCACCACCACCCAGCAGGGCAAGCAGGGAGCTGTGAGCTTCCAGCCCAGCAAGACCCTGCTCCCCAGGGATACAGAAGAGGATGCTGTGTGGCCGCAGGTGTTGGCATGCACAGCCTCTAAGGTACATCGGTGCCAGCAGCTGGTCCCCAGGCACAGTGAGGTGGCACAGGGTGTCTGGTGCACAGTGTGGGCTGCAGAGGCTGCTGCTGTGCTGGAGGATGCTGCAGCAGTGTGCTGGGACGCAGATGTCAGCATGTACATTGCTCTGGAAAACATGGCTTGTGTGTGTCAGCACATTTGCTAAGCTGATTCTTTGATCGATTTAAGAAAAGGGGTCAGACTGACGAACCATGTGAATGAGTCATTGACTGGAGCCAGGCTTTCTGTTACACTGAATTAAAGCTGGATTTCAGCAGGTAAGTAAACACACTGTGAGTTTCCATTACAGAATGGGAAGGCTTAAACAGTATGGATGGGGTCCTGGTTTTCCCATTGCTGCAGGGATGACACATTGGTAGCCTTTTGGCCTGGCATGCTCTTGGGCATGATGTCACACAAATTCAAGTGACTACTCAAGTGGGACATGTTGAAGAAAGATGTTATTAATGCAAAGTACCAACAACCCTGCAAAACAACCATCTGGTTGAACAGCAGCTCAATTAATAAACTGGGTAACTCTGCAGGATTTGATGACCACCCTCCTGCAATGATGTGTCCCCCACCATGGTCCCATGGGGGAACACCCTCCCATCTGCGTGCGTGAGCACTTGAGCAGCAGGTCTGAAACAGTATCTGGGTCAGCAAGTAACAATCATTGGAGATTCTACTGCCAGGGTTGAGGTTGTCTGTTCTACCCAAGTCCTGCACAGGCAGACAGGACCTGTGAGACCAGCTCTGAACACACGGAGCAATGAGTTGTCTCTATGCTGGAGCTGAAAGGCTATACTGAAGAGCCAAAGCCTCAGCGGTCCTCCCAGCAGCAGAATCCCATGTTTATCCCCTTGCCCCATTGTCAGCAGTCATGCCAGGCCAAGTATTAATAATAAAAGTGACTTCTGAGAGGAGGGATTTCAGTCTGAATCCTCCATCACTCACCTGTGTTGCGTGAGGACGTTGACTGCCGACGGGTGGTTAGCACAGTAGGTCAGGTACAGGGAGCGGAACTGGGGCATCAGGTTCATGAAACAGCCTCCCACACGCTGCTGGTTCTCGGGGAGCCTATGGACACCAACACACCAGCCACGTTAAGCCTCCTGATCTGCACCCTGCAGCTATGGCACTCTCAGGGCCCTGCCCAAGAACCACTGGCTGCACGGGGACATTCCCAGGTCACCTCCTAACTCCAGCACTGAGCAAAATACCCACAGCTGACATACGGGCGGGAGGAATAGGGAGGTCCTCAGGTGGGTCTGGGTTTCTGTGGTGCAGACAGTATCACAATGTGCTATCAGCCTGGAACCAGGTGTGACCCAGCCTGTCCTGTCCCACCAGCAGAGCTGCAGCTGGGATGCTGCAGCCCACTGGGACTGATGAGGATGTGCTGGAAGGAACTGGGGACACTGTCTGAGCTGCCCATGAATATGAGGAGATAGAAAGAGAAGCTACAGTCTGAATGTATTTTCAATATTCAGTCTTTTCCCAATTCTTCTCAGTCCTTCCAAAGGAGAGGCTGGGCTAAGGCCTGTCTGTCAGCTTCCCCACGGGAAATTATCACCTCTAATAATTTGCTCTTTGCTCCCTGGCAATTCCCATCTTCATGCCTGCCAGATCTCCCACCCTGCATGTGTCTGCATCTTTGGTCTAGGTGCACTTTTGTGTCAGGTCTAGTGACACTCATTCAGCAGATTCCTTAACACTAGAAATTCTAGTTCCATCCCTCCTGCCAAAGCACTACCTGCCACCTTTCTTCACTCCTTCTATATTTAACAAGTCTAAGACAGCAGCCAGGAGGAACATTAATGAACAGGGCTTTCTATTATTTTTAGCTGCAGTTTAGTAGATATGCTATGACATGAACTTACTTTGCTACTTCTTCCAAGGCTTGGTTCAGTGTTTGCTGAAACGCAGAGATTTCTTCCATGTTTCCCAGCAGTGAGGCAATATCCACAGCACTGAGCCTGTGAGAGTCAGATCACCAATGAGCATCAAAGTGATGTTGCTCTCAGGAGCACCCCCTTGGTATTTATAAGTGGTCCTTCCAAAAAAGACCCAAGAATTTCTCTTTCCTCAGATACACCATCAGACATGGGAAAACATAAAATTCATGATCTGTGAGCTACAGACCACAGTCTCCCAGAGAAGATGTCTGCAGTCAAGGATTATCTTAATTGGATTTTAATCACTTAATCACACTAATCTTCTCAGATGTTTAGCTGTCTAATAGGCACAGACAGATGGGATTTCAGCCAGGGGTGGGGAGGGAGGTGTGTGCACAGACACAGAGACAGCTTTGTCTTCAGGGATTCATGCTGTGGGTTTCTCAGTGGGAGGAAGGGCCTACAGACTGACCCCTCAGGTACAGGCTGCTTTGTTTCTTGAGTGAGGTTGGATTTTTCCTGGCCAAAGTTAATGTGTCTGTTTCTGTCATCCTCAGAGTCACTCTTGTACCACCCTCTTTTAGGCCTACAGGGCTGAGATCACGAGAAATTTTCACAGCTGAGTATTTCCCACATGAAGATTTGGGGATGGGAGAAGTGATTTAAATAGAGAGGCCTTAGGACACCATTCTCCCATCTCTCCAGACTAGACAATGTCTAAACATCTGCACTCCATCTGTGACACCCCAAGGCTGCTCAGTCCTCCCACAGTCTGCTCAGCCGGAGGGACTGGAGTGGCCCCAACACAGCTGCAAGGACAGGGTCACTGGGATGGCACTATTTGGAAGAGATGACTCTAAAGCTGAAGCAATGAGCAGGAGATGAAGTTTACTGCACCAGGTCTTTTATGCAGGGTGAAAGTATCGACAGGAACCTGCTGATAAGCACCACTGAGCTGCTGTTGCTGCCTCTGCACCACACTGCCCAGCACAGAGGGAATGCACATTGCCTATTTCTGCAGGTAAGCCTGGAAAGAGCTCCCCAGTCACCCCAGTGTTGCTCAGGCCATAAGGGTTGGCACCATGCTCCTCCCAAGCACAGAAGTACTTAGTGCCAATGGCTGTGCAGTCAGGGAGGCAGGAGAGCCACTTCTTGCCCAGCAGCAGTTTGGATCCAGTGAGAGGCAATCTAACCACAGAGGACACCTGTCACCACGTGTGAAATGAAGAGATGACTGAGGCTGAGAAGCCACAACAAGGCAACTGACAGAGGGAGAAGCCATGCAAGGCACAGTGCCGAGGAACACACATGCTGGGACAGGCACACACAGGCTTGCAGACGGGTGGGAACAGCCAGCCCTCTCCCAGATGGACAGTGCCTGTCTCTAACACAGCCCAGTGCCTGCACCACCACTGAGGAATGGGAAAGAGCAGAAACCTGCAAAACGTGGGCTGCTTTTCTGGTTCACAGAGAAGCTGTGAGGCTTTACAAAAGCAGCAGTAACAGACCCTAAACATTCAGAAGCAGGAAAGTAATGAACTATGATGGATTTCATAGGGTTGTCTCCACCTCAGAAGCCCTTATATCTTACTTATCATAAGACTGGAGGGGTCTTAAGTAAGTTCCCAGAAGTGATTGTAGTTCCTTCGCATAATCTCGTTCTGTTTCCAGAATATTTTGCAACACCTAGGGTGAGAGACAGAGCACTGAGTAGATCTTTGTACTAGCGACTAGTCAAAGGAACATGACATCAGCTTCCAAGCGTGGAAAACCATGGAAGTGTCTTTCAAGTCCAGAAATTACATTTCTTAATACAGAACCCAGAACACTCAGGAAAGTCCTGGTGGACCAATTTTGGGATTTTACTTTGTAAACTTGGGGAGGCCTGAAAAGCAGGTGGTAAGGGCTGCTCCTTCTCTGGCAAACCTTGAAGACAATGTCAGGTCTGACCTGAGTTTAGTACTTGCCCCTCAAGAGGCTCATGCCTGACCCTGCATGCACAACTGGCTGCCAAGGTATGCAAACAAATGACCTGTGCATGCATCCTGGGAGCACCATTTGCACCAAGGCAGGCACGATTTAAATGCAACAGTGGCCAGACCAAGGATGGCTCCCTCAGCAGCTCAAGCCAGGCCACAGCTCACTTGCAACTTAAAGGATGTGCTGAGTTGGGTTTGGTCCTGCTAATCCACTGTGGCAGCCAATTCATCTCTGGCAGCAGGGCAGGCAAACCCAGTGCCTGCACAGTTCCAGTCAGCACTTCAGTTTCTCAGTGTGGTTGAGTTTTGGAGACAGTGGAGGTGGTTCCCAGCTCTCTGGACATACTGTTTCTGCTTTGCTTTGCTTGAAATATATTTAGACATGCTGATGATCATGTTTCAGATCCAGCACTGAGAGCCAGGGATGCTCACACACTGGCACGTTCACTCTCTTACACCACAGGGTTTCCTCCAGCCTGGACACAGTGGGAAGGTACCTGCCCCCCTTTGCCAGACCTCCTCACTCCAGCAGCAAGATGCAGAGGAGGTTATGCTTCTCAACCCCTTCTGCAGCTGCAGTTCATGGTGTGGCAGGCTGTGAACCTGCTCCAAAGCCAAGCCCAGTTACCAAGCCAGGCTGTGAGCTGCAGGATCTGCCCCTTCTCTGAGGGCTGCAGCTGCTGGCAGAGAAACAGAGCAGGCAGCTTGGGACATAGTATCTCCAGCCAAACCCAGGAAACAGATCAGTGCCCTCATCTAGCTTGTTTACACCCTGACATCTCTATAAAGATGGCAAGGACTGGACCAGAGACATCATGCCTTATTCCCCAACACTGATCTCAATGTTGCCACCTCTCCAGCTGCCTACTTCAAGTCCCTCCTTTTGACATCTTGAAGCAACTTCCATTTGTGGTTTATTGTCTCGACAGCCTTGAATCAAGGGAACGGCAACAGCTGCATTTAAACACAGAGTCACATCCCTGATTGTTACAAATTGCTTCAGTGATTTTTAAGGGAAGGAGCCAGGTCAGAAGATTAATAACATGCTACTTATTAAAATGTATGATCAGCACTTTAAAACTTACCACAGGGTAATAATTCTTTGTCAGCTGAGTGCTTTCGAGTCCTTTTAATGCTTTGGGAGAGAGTGGTTTATCTGCACCAAAAAAAAAAAAAAAAAAATCAATAAATTACAGTGCACAGCTCTCATTATTCCAACAGGGAAAGACACTGTGGCATCATGTCCAGCAAACATAACTCCACCTCTGTGAACACAAGACTTCAATTGTGGCGTTTGTTTCCCTGCTTCACAGAAACCAGGATCAAACCACGACACTGACGGTGGTTGAGCAAGTCACATCAGAAGCTCTGCGCAGCCTCTGCCAACCAACTCACAGGATTGCTCCAAAATCCCTGGCAGCAGTCCAGTACCTGGCACTGCTTGCAGCTACAGTATGGCTTCACCTGATCCACAAAATTTGGATTTTAAAACTGGGTGTCTATCAGAAATGACAGATACTGCATTTTGTTGCAGGTGATTCACAAGGCACTTGAAGCCAACACCAATCGGTATGCTGAACCCACATCCCTGCAGTTGGTTGTGATGCAAAATCCTTCTCTAAACAAAGGTAGATCTAAACAAAAAAGTTCCCACAAACCTGGAAGTTAATTCTCATTCATCATTTGCTAAATCCCTGTGGATGCCTCTGGCATGGTACACACATACACACACACACACACACACACACACACACAAGTCCCTATTCCATTTTTCCTGTCCTAGAGAGGTCCCTGCATGGCTTTCCCAGCACCACCATCACCCTCCAGCCTGGGACAGCCCTGGCCATGCTGCACACCTCACACTGAAACCCCTCCGTGCTGTGCAGAGCAGCCAGGCTCTCCTGTCACCCTGCAGTCACTCACAGAAGGCAATTACTTTCACACGGCTAGCAGGGGAGAAGCTTGAAATTGATAAATTTAGCCCCTGGAAGCTGCAGCTTGATGTACTGTCTAATTATTGCCCTTGTAGTGCTTCCTGTCACTTCCAGCCGGGAGCTCCGTCCCTCATCTAAAGACTTGGAGGAGCTTTGCTCCACACAGCTACTTATTTCCACCCAAAGGGCACGCTTAGGACACAGTGGAGGTACAGACACTGCTGAAACACAAGTAACTCCATTCAGAGTGACAAGTCTCACACTGAAGGAAACAGCTCCTGCTGCCTGGTAGTGAGGGCTCCCCCAGGCTGCAGCCCCAGCAGTGCTCCTGAGACACGGGAGAGTTAGCTGATGGTCCCTGCATCCATCACTTCCAACAGAGCCACATCTCTTGGGCATGCACAGATCAGGGGAATGAGCTCTCCTTCCACGGGAAATGGATCTGGAGGGAAAAGCTCTGCAGATGGAAAAATCTGATGGGCTCTTACATCAGGATCTATGGGAGACTCGCCCTTAGCTTCAGTGAAGTCTTGTTATTTCTGAATGTCCCCATAGGACTGAAGTTTGCTCTTCTTTGCTCAAAACATCTCTCCTCATCCCTCGCTGAGTTAATTAGTGATTCCTGGGTTAGGCCAGACAAGTCTTCAATCCCTGCTGCAACATCCTGCTCCAGCTCAGACATCATTTCCCAGAGGGACACAGTGGGAGATGAGATATCCTAACAATGATTTTTTCATTTAGAATTAAATAAAAACTGGCCTAATTCTGAGCAATCATTAATATTTTTCTTCCTTCCTTCGGTATTTTTTTTTTCAAGTGTGGGAGCAAGGATATTTAACAGGGGCTGCACATTTTGCAGCCACTTTGCAGCCCACTGCTGATGTCACACAGTGTTTGAGGCCAGGGCTGATCCTGAGCCATAAAACCAGCACCAAGCACACAACTGGTCTCTGTCTAGGGCAGGTCCTCAGGGCACATTAAGGAATTAAGCTGCATTTTGCAAAAAACCAGTTTGCTGTCACATAATGGCCTCGGCAGCAGAACAGGATGACCTGCTTGAATGGATGTGTAGCACCACAGGGCAGTGAGTCAGGGGCTTCATGTCATCACCACCCCATGTCTGGTTACAATCACATTGCAGAAAATGTTAAGGACATGCAAGACAAAGCTCAGTAAAGGCAGATGTCATCAGATGGATCATCCTCTCCCTTTCTTAATATCACTGCAGAAGAGGCATCTGGGGGAAAAGGTACTCTTGTGAAATCAACCATCACTACAGACAAAACTAGCAACCATTCCCTGTGGCCAGGCAGTTTTTGTTGGATTCCTCATCGTGACGGTGAGCATCCATTCCCCTGCTGCCAGAAATGGCAGGATCAAACACAAACACATCGCCTGACTGAGGTAGCTAACAAAAAGCTAATTCAGTGTTCAGACACTGGAATGACCTGGCAGCTCCACACGACAAAGGGGACCCTCCAGTCTCATCCTCCAGCAACATCCCTGCTGCTGTGCTGCTGGGGCTTGGAGAAGAGAGTGAAGCAGCTCTCAAACAACTCATCTGAAAGACTAGGCTTTACCCTTCTGGCCTCATTCATCCTTCCATTAGCCTGGCTGCTTTAAGCACACAAATGGTCCTTAATAAATAGCAGCAATTTCCCAAAGGCACAAGGGTCCTCACTGCATTATACCACTGTCATTCAATCAGCCCTTGAAAGCAATTTGCTTACCGGTGGATTTGATTTCTCTGACGTAGTTGCTTGGGAACCAGCCTGTTTTTCCATTCAAGGTCCCTTCCCACCAGCCCCCTTCTTCAACCCGGGTGACATAAATAATGTCTCCTTTGTTAACAGAGAGTTCATCCTCATTGGTCTGCTTAAAATTGAACCTGGCCTTTACCACCAGCTGATGACTGCCATTCTCGGTCATCTCCTAAGGAAAGAAACATGGAAAAACATCAGTAAATAGCCCAAGAAAACAGAAACCACTAGGACAAGCCATTGTTCGTCTTTGTTGTGACAGCTGTTTTTTCAGCATTGCTCTGTATAACAAGCAATAATGTCTTGCTGTTGTGTAAACACTCCCTCCAGAGGACCATGAGATCCCTCCCAAGCATTAATTTAGTTTCCCAGTGCAATGGATGGCAGATAAGAATTGCTCCCATGTCACACAGAGGAGCACTGTGGTTTGGAGAAGCCACAAGACTCTCTCCAGCCGAGGCAGCAAAGCTGTGATGGAGATCCGGGGAGAACAATCTCTGGTGTTCTCAACCCAGAGGTACCACTCACACCCCTCTCCCCCACCAAACCCATGATGAGATGGTAAATATAGGATACCACAAGCTTGGACTGTCTCCGTAACACCCGCGCTGACTGTGAAGCTGTGCTGCTGGAGTCAGCCTGGGGGTCTCCAGACACAGAGCTAAGAGATGATGGATGTGAACATGGCCCTTTGGATGGCTGATCTGGGGAAACAAGACAAGAGCTGAATGTTACCCAATTGTCCAACATCCCTCCACATCACACCAAAGCAAAGAGTAAAGCCTGTAAAGAAAAGAACAGGGCACAACAGTTGAAAGTACATCTATCAGAGCAAGACAGCAAGTGAACTGTATCTCCAGCATGGGTACTCCCAGTCAACAGTGAGGATGGTTTTCTGGGCTGGTATAACCCTTCCATCATGGAAGAAGTTGAATTGCACCCCGAGGCACTCCTAGGTTGTGCCAGCTCTGCAGCCACACATCCAATCGCAGTATTTTTTTTACATCCCCCTTAAAACTGTAGGATAATACTCAGCCCAGTGATGCCCAACTGGGAATGTTTCTGGGATCTAAGCAAGCACTGCTGAAGGTGTGTCAAAGTTCAGCTCTCAAGTGAGTGCTCTTAGGTCACCTCTGCAGCTGCAGCGTGGGCTATCCCGCCGAGTGGGGAAGAATGCTGAACAGCTGGTCAACACAATCGCTTCTCTATTCAGAGAAGTCCTTCTGGGTTCATTATCCAGCTGAAAGAGACTAGGCACTATTTTGATTACTGTTCATGGACTGCTGCCATTAGCCATGTGAGAGAGGGATTCAATCGTGCTGAGGAAGGACAGGAATGTCACCCTCAGGAGATGGACAGCTCATGGAAAGGATCAGATCATCCCAGCAGCTCTTGGAGTTGTCTCCTTCACATGCCTGAAGCTCCTCACTTTGCAGACCAGTCTCTAGGCCTGTTCCTGTCACCACCTGTCTGATGCTGGAGGCAATGCTGCTGCTCTGACACATCTGTTTTCATGATTAGTAATCTGTTTCTATATTCATACTGAAAAAGTTGCCAGAGGGTAAAAAGTTTCCTGGTCACAACTGTGCAGAGACTGAGTCAGTGGCCTTATCACTCAGAGCAGCCTCAGCTCCTGCAGGACCTGGCAGTGCTCAGCCCCAGATTCCTATTTGGATGCTGCAGAGGGGTAAAATCATGAGATTCAAGCCACCCAGTAATTCCCAGTGCTTCTCTGCTACTGTACCCCACACCACACCACGGGACAACACTCAGATCATCTCCTCTCCATGTGCCATGGGGCTCAAAAGACACAACAGCAGATATTATTATCTCAGTAAACTGCGAAGGACTTTTAAGATTTGCCTTGTAGCTTCTTTTCGGATTTTAGAACACTTCTACATTCCAGAGCTGCTCTTTTCCATCTGCAGTGTGGACCTCAAAAGCAGGATAAAGAAGAGTCATCTGCAGGTATCACTGTGCTGGGTGTGCAAGTCCCTGGACCACGTTTGGAGCTCTTCCTTGAAAACACTGCAAGAGGAGAGGGTAATCCAGCCACAAACGTGCACAGGGATCGGAAAACACAAACTCTAAGGCTGCTGTTCTCCCATTCTCCTCCAGTCTGAATGTCAGCATGGAAAACTCATTCCAAAGGGGAAGTTTGGTGGGAGTTACAGGAACTCAGCTGGGCTGTTATTCTCCCCAGAGGATTTTTGTTTCAATAGGAAAACACCTCATCCTTAGAATGGACTTAGAGCAGCACAAACTGAGTTCTTGGGGAAGGGACTTGCTTTGTCTCTCTCCAGCCCTTGCACAATGGGGACCAGGTCCGTGACTACCACTTCCAGGTAGTCTGAACTACTTCCCAGCCATGCCATACCCACACACCAGTCTGCCCAGTCCTTGCTTCTGCAGTGGACAACATCCACAATAAATCTCGTGTGCTGTCAGTGAGTCAGTTTTCTCTCTCGCCCTGCTTGTTGCACAACTGCCTGACAACCGCACAGTGAATTCCCAGCTCCCTGGGCTGCAGCAACAGCAAAACCCTCTGCATGGAAAACCCACTTTGGAAACACACAGTGGATTTTTCTCTGAAGCATCCCGATATTTGAGCAGGAGTGGTTTTGGCTGCTGCTGGCGACTCCCAGGTCAGGGGGGTGGCCAGCTGCCAGTGTGAGATGTTCTTCCCGATTCCTTCTAAAAGGGAGGGCGTAAACCACGAGTCCAGACTTCTCTGCTTATCCAAGTCATCAGCCACAGTCCCACGGAAATGACTCGGTTACTGTAGATTTTATGCTTCTCCCTGCCCCTCCCAATCTTCCATAGCTTTTATAAATATCTGCAGCAACCTAGAAACAAATGTAAAACTGACTTTGACAGTTTGGCAGGGAAGTGTATCATTTATATTGCATCATGACAGCGTCCTATTTTATGCCTGGTCCAGCATGGAACACTGCTGCCATATGTTGCTCAAACTATGGTTAAAATAGCTGGGTTTTCTGCTCACATTCCTACACTATTTTTGGCAGATGAGCCTCGTCTGATCCAGCACAGCTGGTTTTCCTCCCCTGCCCTCTCTTGCAGATAAAAGCATCAAGCTCTGTATTCCTGTAATTTGACGGACAGCTGCTGAACTACAAACGACGCCTCCAGTTATTTGCATAACAAGATCCACGAAGACACAAGGACTCGGACTTCAAATGGATGCTCGGAAACACATTCCCATGGTGTTTCCTTAGCTGACACCTACTTTCCTCTGCCTTCAGCGAGGGTGATGGGATGCAGCAGCGTGTGGGCATCGGGATGCACAGGCATCCCTGAGCCTTGGGC